ATGAGAAATTTGATGTAATGTTGCAACAAGGAAAACGTTTAGATTTCATAGGGGCAATATCCTTGCTTTTCTAACTTAAAATAGCATTTAACACCCATCCTCCCAAAACTACTTTATCAGTACACGTAACATTTTTTAAGTATATTTAGTTCTATTTTTGGTTTTTGCACATCTGCTTTATTCAGGTTTTTAATCTAAAAGTGAACCATTTTTATTCCCAAGAATAGTAAGCTGTTGTTCTAGCTCTAGTCTTTGTTTTCTGTTAAACTTCTCTGCAGCTGTTCCAGACCTTATAGTATACAAAACTTAGAATAAGGCACATTTGGAACCTACCCCGAAGGCATTAGTGTGGTGGATTTATTACTACCCAAGCATTAAAAAACCCTTGTGGCAGTTTTCACCCTGTGTTGGTTCAGCAGCATATAGAAGATGAACATATTTTGAACTTGTTTAATTCCAGTTAATCAAATGTAAGCTTGTCCATGTTAAGGTTTTATTACTTCAGATTTTTAATTTGATCCTTGATACATATACCCTTTTCTCCCGCTCTTTTCCTCCCTTTACGCTTAACTATGCAGAGCTCACAGTGCCTGTCTGCACCGAGCTCCATGACACAGGATTTTTCTGGAGTTCCTGGGAAAGAGCAGCCGTTTTCACGACCTCCGGTGTTGCGAACAGCCTCGCAGGAGGGTTACCAAGACCTCACCCAGGAACAAAGAGAGCAGCTGCGGGCAGAGATCAGCATCATCAAAGGCAGATACCGGAGCCACAGTGGAGTATGGCTTATCTTCTACCCCCCCCCCCCGCCCCCGATAATTGTAAAGACTGTAAAAACTGTTCCTTTTTTGATGTGTATTTCGGTCAGTAACTGAGCTCTATTTATAAAGAAGGGACTGAAACACATTGATCAAATGGTTATGTGCATCCCGCTTTGAAACAATTTTTAGTAATCTTACGAGAAAGGGAATGTACAGTCTCCCGAAAAATGGGCTGCAGCTTTTCCCATCACAGCCCTATATTAACCTTGTGTTTTCTTTTTTATTTAAGGAGGATGACTCCCTTCACCAACCAGGACCAGTCAAAACCAGTCTGGCTATTAGCCAGTCGCATTTAATGGCTGCTCTCAATCACACGAGGCCATCCATTAGTGAAGATGACTGGAAGAATTTTGCTGAACTGTAAGTACTGGATTCGGGAGTAAAGAAATTACAGGGGACCGTTCACTTAAACTTGGAATATGAAAAGGCCCCTTCAGAACAGTAGCTGTGCATTTTTATTTTTATTTTTTTTTAAAGATTTATTTATTTGAGAGAGCGAGAATGAGAGAGAGTACATGAGAGGGGGGAGGGTCAGAGGGAGAAGCAGGCTCCTCGCCGAGCAGGGAGCCCGATGCGGGACTCGATCCCGGGACTCCAGGATCATGACCTGAGCCGAAGGCAGTTGCTTAACCAACTGTGCATTTAAACACCCCAAAACTTTGAGTATTGAAGTAAATATCAAGTGAACCAGATAATGAAAATTCATCTTTTGATTTATAATGAACTGATTTAATTTTAAAAGCTTTATTAAAAGCTCAAATAGTTTGCCAGAACCGTTCCAAAATAAATACATTCAAATTTATTCACTTGTGGACCATGGTTCACACACATTTGGATTTATAGGCTTCTTCCAGTTGGCTCTAGACCCATAGATTGGGGACCACTCTAGGTAAAGGATTTAGTAAGTAAGTTACAACCCTTTCTTGAAAGTTTCATTTTGCAGTACTTGAGATGGGCAGGTGTGTGAACACTGTGAGGGCAGAAAAAACTTCCCTTCTTGCCTATGTTCTTTGGCTGGTCTAATAATTAATTGAAAGAAAATAACAAGAGAAAAATAATTTCATACATACAAAGTAGGAAACTCAGGCAATTAAGGTTTAGATACCATCCTGAGCTAAGGAAAGAGACGGGCCTGCAGCTTCAAAGGGGAGGAAGGAATTCACAGAAGATGAGAAGAGCAGATGTTTTCCCTGCTCCGCAGTACAAAGAAGTTCGCTCTGGTGAACAGGGAACCTAAATTCGTCTAGGTAGTTAAGGAAAGTAAAAAGCTTTTCCTGAGTCTGCTGTGTCTTGATTCCCTTCAGCTCAAAATAGTCCACATGCCAAAGCGGACCATTTTGGGGGGGGCATATTCTACTCCCCAATAAGTATATATTCTTATGTATTTATTGCAGAAAAATGAGAAAACAATAAGAAAACAAATTTGCCTTCTTCCCACCCCTCCCAAAGCATATATTTGTAAGTTGTTGTTTTTCCCACTAAGCCCCTCTGCACCTGGTGCTATATAGTGCAGTATTGGGACTTAAGTTGCTTCCGGGTTTTCACTATTACACCTGTGTGCTAATGACCACCATTGGAGCTGAAGGTTTGCACAGAGCCTCAGCTGAGGCTGAGGTAGCATCGTTACATCACAGGATGCTCACATCTTAAAGGCTTACTGCCTTCCAGACACACTGCACAACACAGTACAGTGAGAATAGCACCGCTCTAACATCGGCCATAATCCTCTCTCTCTAAACTTGGCCCATGTACTTGGAGAAAAATCTTGTTTAACAATTTACATCTTTGATTAAAACAGGTTTTTTAATGTCACTGCCATGTCTGTTTTTTCTAACTTGTGTCTTTATCCCCTTTGATTGGGATGTTCAACTTTCAAAAATAAAGAACTCTAATTTCTGTTAGATTATATTAACAAAAGGGAAAAAACTGTCTGCAAACAATTCCTTTTTGTGATTTTAGCATTTACATTTGTTAAATATCATGTCATTTTTTTAAGGTATGAAAACTTTCAAAATCCAAAGAAGAGAAAAAATCAAAGTGGAACAATGTTTCGACCTGGACAGAAAGTAACTCTAGCATAAAAGATGCTCAGTGATTTTGCTGGCTTGTTCCTATGTTGTAACAGTAAAAATGGTATCTGTAAAGTTCTTTTTAACAAATTAAGTTAATCTATAAAATCAGATTGGTAAACCTCTGATTATGTAATAATCAGGAATACTTGAAATTAATATGGTAGAATTGGGATATTTATAACAGATTCTGTATCTTATTTCCTATAAATCTAAATTAAATCCTTAGTAAAATTAATACCGTGCAAATGGTGTAACTAATTTTTTTCCTCATCTGCAGTAAATACATTTCTTCGAACTCACATATTCAGCATCTTCCTTGCATTTGACAAATCTTGGGCTTAGCAACTGTGACCATTTGGAAATGTCCTACTGATCCAATGATCTGTTCTTCTCTCAGAACAGGTAGACTTCACCCACAAATTCAAGTAAATGTAATTATTCCCTCCACCAAAAATGAGATCGCATCCCCCTAATCTATGACATGCAGCTCCCAGGCCAGGTCCTTGAATGCTGTCCATTCCTCCCCTGCTCTATCACGACATCGTCTGGATGTTCTCTAATCTATGAACTAAACGTAAAGTCAGCCACCATCGACCCAAACCAGATCTAGTAAGGCCTTAAGGGAAGAGAGAAAGGAAGAAGGTTAGGTGACATATAGAAATACATGATAAATACATGAAACAGCAAAGAAAAATGTACAGGTAGCACCTAGTGCCCATTCAGCAGCTAATCATGAGGCTGTGGCTAGTATTTCCATTACTTACTCCACGTTCCTTGAGTTCAGCCAGCACCTCGGTGGATTAGAGTGCTTTACCAGGTGGGATAGTCTAAACTACTTCATTCCTATCTGAGCCACTGGTGGCCGCTTATCACAGAAATCTTCCATGAACTCTTAACTACATTCAGTATTACCAAGTCCCATCCGTACCCCTCCCATCCTGTATTGTGTAGCAGCAAGACCGTGTTCCCTCAGCCAACACTGTAACACTCCCCCCGCCTTCCAAACCACTGTGTTCCTCTTGTGTTTTTCCTTTGCTTCCCTCTCAGTCAGCAAAGCCCACAATCACAGGGGATGGAGACAAAGACTTGGGGTCACTTAGGTATTAACTGAGAAGTGCAATCCCCCTTACCCCTTAGTTGCCAGATCCTTGCGTCTACTGAGGCCATGGTCCCTGATTCACCGCATATACTAGATGGACTGTATCTATTGCAACCTCACAAAGAGCCGTCACCCCAGAAGGCCAGCTGCTTCAGGGTGATGAGTGTTTATAGTAAGTCCAGTGGATTCCACTCGAGGCCCACCACCTTAGTCTGCAGGGTGAATTTCATGATCAGAAAGCAAGGGTTCTGTGGGACAGCATAATGACATAAAAGTCTATCAGTAAGTCCTTGAAAGATGGTATTGGCAGACGTGTGGAGGACAAAGCAAATTCCAACCCAGAATGTGTCTGTTCCAGGGAGGAGAGATCGCTGCCTCCTCTCTGATAGAGGAGGGACACACGTTATCAACCTTCCACGAGGCTTGGGCTGGTGTCCCCTGCATGTACACCTACATGGTTGGTCACTGCTGCAGACCAGGGGTCGTCAGGACAGAAGCTGGGTCAGCCTCAGTGTCGTACAGATGACAGACACCCCCATCCCTGCCACCATGGCCACTTAGTTTATGAGTCTACTAACCAAACATGGGGGGCAGGAGATGAAAGTAGATGAGCATCTGTGGAGAGCTCATCTACCTCAATCATCCATATTCTTACTCTCTGAGTGCATTCTGAGAACTCCGGCCATAGTTTCCCCTGGGCATCCTCCTGGCCAGTTCTCTACTCCCGCTCTGTAAATCTCTGATCACCTGGTTGTTAGCCACTGACTATGGATTTTTGTATCAGACATCTCTACCTCCTGGCAAAATGAAAGAGGCAGGCTGCTCAAAAAAAAATCTGCTACCTTGGAGGATTTTCTGTCTCCACTGGTTGTCAGGGCTATCCCCTGAGTAAAGCAGTAATGCCTTCACTTTGACATGGTGGAGCTCTGGGTCTCTAGGAATTAACATTAGTGCAGACCCAGTGTCTCATAATCCCCAGAATGTCCTGTTATTTCTCAGGACACCTGGAGAATGGTCTGATGAGTCGCTTCAGGTCCTTTGGGGAAGACTTGGAAGAAGCAAGATCCATGGCAAGTACTTATGAAATTATTTCAGGGCTCTTTCCCTAGACACCTGGCTTCTTCCTTCTCCGTCGGACCTAGACCTGAGAACTGGGGGAGGGGCCACGACGATACTGTGAGGACTCACATCAGACCTTTGTTTGTTTGTTTGTTTTAAAGATTTTATTTATTTATTTATTTGACAGAGAGAGACACAGCGAGAGAGGGAACACAAGCGGGGGAGTGGGAGAGGGAGAAGCAGGCTTCCCGCGGAGCAGGGAGCCCGATGCGGGACTCGATCCCGGGACTCCAGGATCATGACCTGAGCCGAAGGCAGTCGCTCAACCAACTGAGCCACCCAGGCGCCCCTCACATCAGACCTTCGTTTATTAACAGGGAGATTTTTAAATTATAAAAAATGAAGTAGGATCTTTGACCATCTGTTTTGGTTTTAAGGACCCCACACTTAGTTAGGCAGCACGGAAGAACCCTGTAGACCGATCCTTGTAACAAATGCACAGTCTGCTGGTCATCACAGCCACCGGCCTCTGTTAGGCCGGGATCCACTCAGCCCCACTGAAATCAGAAAGCCCGTTTCCACTGCAACATCTCCCTATCCATCAGGGTCTACAGACAGACTCCTTCAACAACCATTCCAACACGCTCTCCCTTGCCTTCCTATGCTCCTTGGAAAGTGAATGGCTGAGTCACATGATCTCCATTACGGCCAGGCATGGTATGTGACACAGTTCTAGACAGTAAGCAGAGGTAAGTAAAAGTCCCTGGGGTGGGCTTTCTTCCTGAAATGAGGGCACAGTGTCTGGAGGTGCAGCAACCAGCTCGCAAACTTGAGGGTGAAAACCACAGGTGACCGAAGGCAGAGCAAGAAGACAAGGAGCCGGCTTCCCTGATGGCATCACTGAGGTGACATACCAGCCCTAGAAGTCCTACACCTAGGTTTTTTTTTACACTGGAGACAGATAAACCTGTTTACTTCTCTGCGTAGGGTTCCTGTTACAGCCAAGATCAATCCTAACAAATACACCAATGTACTTCTTAAGGACTTCTTGAAGGAGTATTTTCAGACACCCCTACTATCTTGGGGGACATGGGTGGTGGTAAGTTGGTGAGTTATACATGATTCGTTCGCTCAACATGAGGGGGGGAAGGGGCAAAGGAAGAGGGAGAGAGAGAATCTGAAGCAGACTCCCCGCTGAGCACAGAGCCTGACACGGGGCTCGATCCCACAACCCTGCGATCATGACCTTAGCTGAAAGCAAGAGTTGGACGCTTAACTGACTGAGCCACCCAGGTGCTCCTCAAGTGCCTTTTAAAACATGTTTTGCCAGATTCCCTATTCTGAGCTAACAAGTCCAACTTCCTCTGTCCACTTATGTTATACAGTTAATTTCAGGATAATCAGCCAGCAGACTTGATCTAAAACCTTAGCAGAGCGAACTGCTATTGCTCTCCTCTTGTACTTGGAAGAAAGAGGAAGGCAGGAAAACAAAAGAGTGCAAAATCTGGGTCTTGTGCGACCAGGAGAAACCCCAGTGCCATTTAACAATCCCCACATGCAGTATGGTCCTAAATGGGGGCGGCTGTGGGCATCCCAAAGGACTCTCCCCTAGGGTGCCTCCTAGAGATTGGGCAATTTAAAGAGAAAGAAATTAGTATCATGTTGCAATGAAATTTGACCTTAATATCAACTAACAGACCAAGAAGTCTGGCCTAAGAATGAGTCCTTAAATTCTAACACTATCTTACAGCTTGATTTGTTTCGTAAACGGGAGGGTAAGTGGGAGGAAATACCTTATGTAATGGCCCTTATGGCACTGTATCTAGACCCCAAATTAAAGGATAATTGTAGGACGTGCCCAGCTCATTTTTCAGGATTGGAAAAAAAAAATCTTCTGATAGATTAGATGACCCCTCCTTGTAGGCCTGCCCCCCAGAAGGAGGGTCCCTGCATCTAATAAGGCTTCAGATGCAAAGACCAGTCCTGCGGAGCCCCTTTCTGATCCAATGACTCCTTGATACTCAGAGGTGCCCCACGTTTATCCACCTTTGTTCCAGGAACCGAGTCCTGCTATTACTCATGGAGGCACTCATCATTAACACACTGAACCCAAGGCCTCTCAATTTCCACTTAGGTTGCAGATGGAGACGGAGGCACCATTTGAGTACATTTGCCATTCTCCACGAATGATCCGTCCTCATGTACAGAAAAGTTTGGCCATTTCTCTGAGGACCCAGCCAAATTCTCTGAGGAATTTGCTAGGTTAGCCCTGACCTTCAATTTGACCTGGGGAGATTTACAAATTTTGTTGTCCCATTGTTGCACTGCAGGAGAGAAAGCTAGAATATTGAATGCTGCCCGGCAGTATGCCAATGAGGTGGCAGCCCACAATCAGGGACATGCAACGTATCACACTGGAGGAGAAAGAACCCAGATGGGGACAGACCCCCAATGGAATTACCAAAGGGGTCCAGAAGATCTAGATGAGAGGAATCATGATAACTTATTTAACTGAAGGAATGAGACGATGTATCGTAAAACCAGTTAACTATGACAAGATGAGGGACATAACTCAAGGGAAGGATGAAAATCGAGCTCTCTTCCAAGGGAGATTGGTTGAAGCCCTCAGGAAATATACTAATACTGACCCTTATTCTCCAGAGGGACAATCTCTTTTAGCTCTGCATTTTACTGTGCAAGCAGCCCCAGATATCAGGAGGAAATTGCAAAAGGCAACCACAGTGCCTCAGACTTCTGTGAGCCAACTGTTGGACATGGCCTTTGCCGTATTTAATAATAGGGACAGGGCAGTGGCGCCCGGGTGGCTCAGTCAGTTAAGCATCTGACTTCAGCCCAGGTCATGATCCCAGGGTCCTGGGACGGAGCCCCATTCTCAGTGGGGAGTCTGCTTGTCCCTCTCCCTCTGCCCCTCCCCCAGCTCATGCACACGTGCTCTCTCAAATAAAGTCTTAAAAAAATAGGGACAGGTCAGAAGAAGCAGACAAAAATCACTCAGAGCAGGTGGCAGACCCAATTTATAGCAGCTGCC